CCTACGAACAAACTACTAATTAACCTCTACAAGGTCCTGTATAATTCCATCAAAATTCCCCTTTCCCCAATTTAGAACTTGACCCTGTGGACCAGATTAAGTATCAAATTAGTTTATTAATTAAATTTCTTCACTTGATAGAGGGATTGTAGGTTGTTGTCTGACATAACCAAGTACAAAATTTTCTTGTCTATGCTTAAGTAGGTGTAAGGGTAAAATAAAAGCTAGGGTCCATATTTTATTTGGCTGCGGTACGTGTAGGGAGCTAAGGCCATGTTTTACACATTATGAGATATCCTAAATGGCATCCAGACTGCCAGGAGCAATGTGCATAGAAAGTGCCTCTGGCTGGAGCAAATCAAGCACCATATTTTTCATCTTGAGTGAAAGGGACTTAATGGGTATGATTAAGGCAAAAAAAGCTTATGGAAGATACTGAAGGCACAAGACAACATGGTCCCTAGAACAGTAAAGGAAGTGCGGTGGGGGGAACCTTAAAATGAAAATTAGGAAGGCTAAGAGAGTGTATTAGAAAGCACTGGTAGGTAGAATAAATGAAAAACTTAAGGCTTTTTAAAAAAAATACATGTAAATGCAAGATAATAATTAGAGAAAGATGAAGGCCCATTAGGGATCATTAAGGTAATGTGTACAGAATTCCTGAAGTCTTCAATAAATATTTTGTGTTGGTCTTCACAATGGAAAAGAATGATATATGGGTAGACAAAGTGGAGGACAGTGAAATATTTGAAGAAATTAACAAAGACTCAAATACAGGGAAAAGGATATCTAGCTGCACTTATACAGAGCATTGGTGAGGCCAAACCAGGAATATTGCATACAGTTTTGGCGTCTTTAGCAGAGAAAGGATATTCTTGCTGTAGAAGGAGTGCAGCAAAGGTTTGCCAAATTGATTCCTGGGATGGCAGGACTGACAATATGAGGGCAGGTTGAGTTAGGATTGTATTCACTGGAGTTTAGATGAATGAGTCAGGTTGGGGGTGGTGGGTCTCATAGAAATATATAAATTCTAAGAGGTCTAGACAGGTTAGATGCAGAGAGGATGTTTCTGATGAGGGTTATCCAGAACCAGAGTCTTAGTTTAAGGATAAGAGGTAACGTTGTAGGACTGAGAACAGCTGAAATTTCTTCACCTAGAGAGTGGTGACCCTGTGGAATTCACTCCCACGAAGTGGTTGAGGTCAAAACATGTGCTTGTAAGAAAAAGATAGATATAACTTCGTGGCTAAAGGGATCAAGGTGTATGCAGAGAGGATGGGATTGGAGTAATTAGCCAAGATTATAATGAATGGTGGAACAAGCTTGAAACATCAAATGGCCTACTCCTGTTCCTATCTTTTGTGTTCCTAAGTAATTGTACCTCTATCGCTTCTTGCAGGGAGCTGGCATGGTCAGAATTGTCTTGCTCCATGCTGAATGCATTCTATGATAACATGATTTTGAAACCTTGACATTCTTTCTTAATGTGCTTTATCTGATTTGCTCTCAATTTTGCAGCTAACCAGCAATCTGTAAAGGTTTAAGTTAAATTCCTTGCCTTTGCAATAGCTCAGAATCCTGTTTGTTTCTGACATTTTCTCAACTTGTCCTGCTATCTTCAACAGCACTTATGTATAAATTTATTTAAAATCATACTATTTAGATAAAGTCATAGATCATACAGCAAGGAAACCGACCCTACTGTCCAACCAGTCCATGCTGAACATAATCCTAAACTAAACTAGTCCTATCTGCCTGCTCCTGGCCCATATCCCTCCTATTCATGTATCCATCCAAATGTCTTTTAAATGTTGTAATTGTACCTGCGTCCACCACTTCCTCTGGAAGTTCATTCTAATTGTGAACCACACTGTGTAAAAAACAAAGCCTCATGTCTTTTTTAAATCTCTCTCCTCTCACCTTAGTCTGTCACCTAGTCTTTAAAACCCCATCTTAAGAAAAAGACAACTACCATCAATTCTATTTATACCTCTCTTTATTTTATTAACCGCTATCAGGTGGCCTCTCAACCTCCTACATTCCATTGGAAAAAGTCTGCCTACTAAAACATATCATTTCATATTTCTCTGCATTGAATTTCATCAGCCATGTGTCCACCTACTACACCCATCCATGTATGTCCTCTTGAGTCAACTTTCTTTCCTCCTCACTGTTGTACCAATGTATACCAAGTATCCTGATTGTAGGCTGGTGCATATGTCTAGGGCAGTGCTGGAGTGGAGTCTTGGGCTGAAGCTTTCCTTCTGGAATGCGTGCCATAGTTGCTCTGCTAACACTCTGGTTGAGGACAACTAGTATAGTAAGAACATGTCACTGTGCCACTGGAAAAAAGTGCTGTCAGAAGGTGTGTTAAATTTAAACTATCTGTTTCATACACCATATTCTGGATGGTGAAATGCAGACAGACCAACAGTTGAAGAACAGGAGCTTACAGAGTACACAGGGTGGGATCTTATTGAGCCCTGAGTGATGTGGGCTATGGTGAGATTTGTGGCAGAATTGGAGGAGAAGTCCACTGAAACCTATCTTAACATTTGGAGCATCTTCGCATCTAGTGAGGGGGCAAAGTGAGTTTCTTACTGAGCGGTGGCGAATTGCCAATTAAAAATGATAATAGCTTGTTAAACCTCTAATTAACACCACAACTCATATCATTAATATTCAGCTTCCTTTCTTACCAAAGGCGAAGCAAATGGGCAAAAGCTTGGCAGATAGAATAAAATGTAGGGAAGCATGAATTTATGCAGTTTGGCAGGAAGAATAGAGGAGGTGAAAATTATTTAAATGGAGACAAACTTCAGAAAGCTGCAGAACAGAGGGATTTTGGAGTCATTCTGCATGAATCACAAAAAGCTAGCATCCACGTTCAGTGGGTAATAGGGAAATCAAATGGAATGTCAGCCTTTGTTTCAAAAGGAATGGTGTTTAAAAATAGGGAGGCTTTGCTAAACCATACAAAGCCTATACAAAGTTTGACCATAGCTGGAATACTATGAACCATATCTAAGGAAAGATATAATGGTTTTGGAGGCAGTCCAAAGAAGATTCATGAGACTGATACTGGACTGTCTTATGGGTAGTGGTTGAGTAGGTGAGGTCTGTATTCATTGGAACTTAGAAGAATGAGAGGCAACCTTATTGAAACATATATCTTCTGAGAAAACTTTACATGTTAGATGCTAGGAGGTTGTTTCCAACTATGGGAGAGTCTAGGATCACAGTGCATAATTTCAGAATTGGGGATTGCACATTTAAGACAGAGATGAGGAGGAATTTCTTCTCCGAGGCAATGAATCTGTGGAATTCTTTATTGCAGAGGCCTGTTCAGTTTGGGTTGTTAAGTATATTCAAGGCCGAGTTGAACAAATTTTTAACCAGCAAGGGAATGAAAAGGTTATGGGGAAAAGGCAGGAAAGTTCAGTTGAGTAGATGCGATTGGCTGAAAAGTTTATTTCCATTCCCACATCTTATCGTCTCATGGTCAACATGCCAAACAAGCTAGACACTGAATTCTTGACGTGGAAGTCAGACTGGGCACCTGGCAACTTAGTTCACTGCTGACTGAGAGGAACTCCTTATGGGCACCTGCCACCAATATTTCAGGGAATTAGCCACAAATACCCCACGCCATTGGATATTGACATCTGATGTTCCAGCCTTTAAGAATCTTTATGACATATCACCAATCCATATAGAGTATTTTCCTGCAAATCAATGCTGCACCTCGGGCTGTAGCAGCAACTGACATTGTGATACTGCTGCAAGAAAACTGCACTAACAGATAATCAGCTCATGAACTAAACTTCTATTTTCAGGCCGTTTGCTTGCTGTCTTAGTACTCACTCACTCTGAGCCTACCAGGATGCTTACAGTATCTCTGCTTCATGCACTGTCTTGCCTTTTTCAGCTTTGCCCCCTAAGCCAGAATTAGCAGGTGTTTATTACTTCTGTCTTGCCTTGACATTTAGCATAGATACAAAGCTAGGAAGTTTGTCATGGTTGTCAGCAACTCTCATGCAAAGTCAAGGGGCATAGCCTGTGCTCAGGGGACACTGGCACAATGAGTTCAGGGCAGCCTCCAATACCAGATCAGGGTCTTGGGCACAGTCAGTCAGCCATTTAGGGCAGTCAGAGTCAGGAGTTTCTACTGATGAGCCAAATGTCAGGCAGTCTGCTATCTGTCTTGATATTTTCTGCCCTATTGTGCACTGTTTTCGTCCTTGAATGAAAGACACCGGTATTAATGGAGATGAAAATAGGTGACACAGCTGTTACTTTCAGTGAAGGTATAGAGGTGTCCTGAGTGAGTGAGTAGGCATGTAGAGTTGCTGCTATTGGAGGTTGAAGGAGTAATGAGAGCGAGTGATGGAAAATATTGCAGGCAACAGTCAGAGCAGTACAGCATGAACCTTAATGGGAGAGAGTTACAGTGGCAGAGATAGTGATTGTGATGGAGTTGGAGCAGATCACTGATCATCTTCCTTTAATGCTGGGCATTTCTCCAGACAGATGAGATGGCACTGAGCTGGGTGGCAACCTCTGTTCAGACTGACAGGGTCTGATATCACTGCCAATCCCGGATGTCTTTCTGTGCACCACCCAGTCCTGCAGGAGATCTAGGTCCCTACTTCCACAACAGGCCCTCAAAATCCCCCATTTGTCATGTCCAAGTCAAATGTCAGGAACTGTGCAGGGCAGCTCTGGAATGACAGTGCTTTTCCAACTGAACATCGGGTTTTTAGAAATGGCAGTGGTACAAAAGATGCTGGTCTTTCAGCAGAGCTATGAGTTTTTTGGGAATAGCATGTGGTAAGATGGGGCTAGAACTGGACATGCGGGAAGTCGTATGGACAGGATAGCTAATTAATGGTACTAGAGCAATAAGGCAAGAAGACTTGCTTGGCCTCACAGAGATAAAGCTTTAAAAAAATGCAATGCAGCTTGCACTTAACCAAAATAATATAAGATTCAACACTTACTCTTTGACCGGAAGATCTGGTACAGCTTGTCCATGATGGAGCTCTTCATAATCTCTGTGATGAACATGTCTTGTTCTGCAAGCTGTTCCACTGTGAACTCCTCTGCGATGCCAGTCATTCGGTTGTAGTTGTTTAAGAGTGCGATGAACTTAGCAAAAGTTGGCCTTGAGAACAGAACCTCTTCATTCACATAAGCAAAAAGCCTAAATGTGAAATTAGGAATGGGGTTTGTGAGAACTTGCTGTGTGCTGTATTAGATGGTTTTGTTGTTTTCTCTGTTTAGGATGCTCATTTTTGCAGCGGTAACTTCATCTTACTTGTCCTTTGCTGATTATAGAGTCCTTACAACATGATGGAGGCCACTTGCTCCACTGTGTCTCTGATGGCTTTGTGAAGGATAAATTTACCTAGTGACATTCCCCCAATTTCTCCCTTTAGCCCCGTTCATTCTCTTTTGAAAAATTCTATTGACCTTACTCTATCCCGCACTCTCAGCTTCTAAACACTCACTGCATGAAAATTTATTTTCTCACGTCTCTGTTGCTTCTTTAAAGGGGGTTTTCTCTTGGACGCAGTGGCATAGTGGTAATGCCACTGAATGATCTCCACTCCAATTTCCTTTAGAAACTGGGATGCATATATCTGTACCAGGTGACTTACTTACACCATCCACAGCCAGTCTTTCCAGTACATACTGCTGATCAACTTTAACTCCATTTATTCTCTCTACTTTTCCACTATGATATTTCATCAGAGTTCTCTTTCTAGTAAACTAGTGAACTGCCAGAGGAAGTGGTAGATGCAGGTAGAGTTACAACATTTAAAAGATATTTGGATAGGTACAAATAGGAAAGGTTTAAAGGCATGTGAATCAAATGCAGGTAAATAGGACTAGTTTAATTTGGGAAACCTGGTTGGCATGGATGAGTCAGACCAAAATGTCTGTTTCCATGCGGTATAACTCTAACTAATAGTCATTGATTATTGCAGCTTTATCCTGCACCTCTGAATATATATAAATATATGCATATATAACACTGTTTGTCTGTAATAGAGCTCACTGCATGTCTTATTACCTACTTACTAAAGATAATGTTGTTATAGTTCTAGCAGACCATTGGGCTGCTCTCTCAATAAAATAGATACAACTGATTTAACCTGAGGGTCATCACGCCTTGGAAGAGGGGAGCGGGTGAGAAGGAGAGTCCGTCATTGTAACTCTGGTAGTGTGGGAACTGATCCAGTGCAGTGGCACCACTCTGCATAGCAAACTAGCCATCCAGACAACCGATCCCCTTTAACATACCTGCCTATTTATTTGCTGCTAAAAAGATTTTTGAACTTCAGTTTAATTGACTCGTGCTCATACTTTCTTTTTGCCAGTTTTATTTTCATCTTTACTTTCCCTCTCATATTGTATTTTAAGTGTGTCATGCCCATTAAAGGCATGTCATATTTAAAACTTTGAAAATAATTCACAATGGCTAAAGCTAGTGTATCCCAGGCTGTTAACAGAAAAACAATACGAAATAGCATATGTACTGGAAATCATTTTCCAATTATCACTCGATATAGGCAAGGTCTCTGAATTGGAAGATTGTGAGGGCTCTACCATTATTTGAAAAGGTTGCTAGGGATAGGCCAAATAGTAATGTGCCATTTAGTCTGACTTGGTAGTGGGCAAATTATTAGAATCAATTGAGAGACAGGATAAACTGTCAGTTTGAAAAATAAGCATGGGTGGCATGGTGGCTCGGTGGTTTGGAGAGCATCAGGGATCCAGGGTCAATTCCACCCTTGGGTGAATGTCTGTGCAGAGTTTGCATGTTCTCCCTGTGTCTGTGTGGATTTGCTCCAGTTTCCTCCCACAGTACAAAGATGTGCAGGCTAGCTGGATTAGCCATGGGAAATGCAGGGATAGGACAGGGGGTTGGGTCTGGTTGGGATGCTGTTCAGAGGGTCGGTGTGGACTTTTTGGCCTGCTTCCACTCTGTAGGGATTCTATGATAAGCAATTGTATGGTTTTGCTTAGGGACGATTAAGTCTTATTATTTGAATTTTTTGAGGAATTCACAACAAGGGTTATTGAGGGTAAGTGTAGTTGATTTTCACTAAATTGATTTTAGTAAAGGCATTTGAAGAAGGCTCCACACAGCAGACTGGTCAGAAAATATAAATGTCGTGTCTTAGAGGGAATGTCATGAGTTAGCTCCTAAATTGGCTTAGCGACAGGAAACAAAAGGTTGATGGATGTTTTTGAGAATAGAAAGTGGATTCCAAGGTTGTTCAACAGGGCTTAGTGTTAGGTCCCTTGCTGTTTGTTGTACATATTGATGACTTAGACTTAAATAGGGAGGTGATGGCCTACTGGTATTATCGTTGGACTGTTAATCCAGCGACCCGGATAACATTTCTGGGGACCCAGGTTTGAATACCGCCACGGCAGATGGTGGAATTTAAATTCAACAAATACCCGGAATTAAGAATCTAATGATGACTGTGAATCCATTGTTGATTGTTGGAAAAACCCATCTGGTTCACTTTTATGGAAGAAAACTGCCATCCTTACCTGGTCTGGCCTACATGTGAGTCCAGGCCCACAGCAATGTGGTTGGCTATTAACTGCCCTCCAGCCAGTTAGGGGTGGGCAATAAATGCTGGCCTAGCTAGCAAGGCCTTCATCCCGTGAATGCTAGAACTGTATTTTTTAATCATTCAGAGGATGATGGCGTCATTAGCTATGCCAGCATTTATTGCTCATCCCTAATTGCCAAGAGGGCAGCTAATAGCCAACCATACTGCTGAGGGTCTGGAGTCAAATGTTGGCCATTCAGCCCATCAAGTCCACACTGCCCTTCTGAGGAGCATCCACCCAGACTCACCCTCCTACCCTATCTCTAGAACCCTACATTTCCCATGTTCGATCCACCTAAATTACAAGGTATGAGGAAAAACAATGTCGTCCAAAGGAAACCAGGTATCTGGAATTTGCTGTCCAATTTGGTAGTGGAGGCAAAAATCCTCAATGCTTTTAAAAGGAAATTGACTCTATACATGTATGGCTATGGACCGGGTCTGGAATGTAGGATGAAAAACAAGGGTCCAATTTCATTTTTCTCTTCTTTTGGCTGGTACAAACACAATGGGCAGAATTGCCTCTCTCTGTGTCATAACTTTTCTCTGGTTCTATCCTAGGGACTTGAAATATGGCTGCAACAACAGTGGATGCATTGGTTTGAAAATTCCTTTGATTCTAGATGGTTACAGCAAATTGGGAAATAACAAATGTAACATCTTTATGCAAGAAAGAAAGGAGACAGAAAGCTGGAAACTGTAGTCCAATTAGTCTAATATCTATCACGAGGAAATTGCTAGAATCCATTATTAAGGAAGTTTTAGCAGGTTACTTAGGAAATCCTCATGTGATCAGTTAAAACAGTTTTGCGAAAAGGAAATTGTATTTTACTAAGTTATTAAGAGTATTTTTAAAAGAAAGTAACAAGTAAGCTTATCATACTTCAATTTCCAAGAAGTATTTGATTGAATGTAGAAAATGCAGTGATGATACTCATGGTGCTGGAATAATATGTTAACATGGTTAGAGGATTGGTTAGCTAACTGAAAGCATAGAGCAATAATAAATGGGTATTTTTTGGCATTGGTAAGATGTAACTAGTGGAGTGCCAGAGAGATCAATGCTGGGTCCTCAACTGTTTACAATCTACATCAATGACTTGGTGCACAGTAGCTAAGTTTGCTGATGACACCAATATAGGCAGAAAAGCAAGTTCTTTAAGAGTTAGGTCACAGGAGATGGAGAATCAACAAAAAGATGAAACAATCTTATTGAAACATACACATTTCTTACAGAATTTGACAAGGTAGATGTGGAAAGGTTCTTTTCACCTTGTGACAAAGTCTATAACCAGAAGGCATAATTTCAGAATAATGAGGGTTGCACATTTAAGAAAGACGTGAGGAATTTATTATCTCAGAGGGTAATGAATCTATGGGTTTCTTCACCTCAGAGAGCCATTGAGGCTGGATGATTAAGCATAAGGCTGAGAGAGGCAGATTTTAAATCACTAAAGAAATCAAGGAATATGGGGGTAAAAAGGCAGGGAAGTGGAGTGGAGGATTATCAGATCAGTTGTGATCTCATTGAATGATGGAATAGACTAGATGGGCTGAATGGCCTACTTTTTCTCTGACATCTTAAGGTCTTATGTAAGTAGGTTAGGAGAGTGGGTAAAACATTTGGCAGATGTAAGGATGAGGTGTTGTGTCCACTTTGGCAAGAAGGACAGGAAAGCAGAGAGTTTTCAAAACTCTGAGGGGGATTTGGGTGCCCTGGCACATGAATCACAAGAGGCTAGTGTATGCAGTGTGCAGGTGAGAAAGAGATTAGGAAGACAAATAGAGCGCTATCATTTATTGCAAGGGAATGGAATATAAAAGTCAGGAAGATTTACTGCAAGTGCAAAGGAATTTGATGAGATGACATCTGGAATAGTGTGTAGTTTTGGTCTCCTTCCTTGAAATATTATTTCCTAAGAAGCAGTTTAAGAAGGTTCACTCAATTCATTCCTGGGTTGAAGGGCTTATTTTAAGAAAGGTAGGACACATTAGGAATACACCAACTGCGGTTCAGAAGAATGAGTCTTATTGACCGAATAAAAGATATTGGGAGGACTTAACAAGATCAATATTGAGAGGATGTTTCACCTCATTGGAGACGAATAGAAAGGGGAGCAGAGAGCTGCACAAAGGTTTGGATTGATAACCGAGCCACATGCAAACTGATATAAGGAGATCAGTGAGATGCGTAGTCAGATAAGGGTTTGATTCATGGGACACTGGCACTGACTACTGAGTGAAAATGGATTATGATCAACATCAAAGAAACTCCCACCTTGGTAATACTTTCTTTCAATCTCTTCCATCAGGCAGAAGATACAGAAACTTGAAAACCTGCACCAACAGGTTTAAGAACAGCTTCTTCCCTGCTGTTATTAGACCGCTGAATGGACCTCTCTAATTTCAAATCTAATGTTGATCTTGCTTTGTGCACCTCCTGTGCAGCTGTAACCTTGTATGCCTCACTCTGTCTAAGAACCCTATGATCTGTATATCCTTATATTTTATGATCTGCCTGTACTGCTCACAAAACAAAATTTTTCACTGTACTTAGCTACATGTGACA